GTAAGTAAAAATCATTACATTATAGTTTTATAATAATTATTTTACCAGTTGTTCTGTACTTCTTAAGGAAATATCTGATTCCTCTTGATGTTGATATCAATCCTTCCTGTTCCAGAAGTTTACAGATTGTGGTAGACCTGTGTCCTCTTCTGGATAGGCTAAGAATCCTCATCTTCTTGTATGAAGAGTAAACCATCTTTGCCGCCTGTAATACTCTGCAATACTCGCGCGCAGTTAATTGACTACAATTAGTAGCTATGGTTACGTGAAGGAGTGGCTTATTTATTATTGTTGTTATTTTTCTTTTTAACAAAAAGTATTATTATTAATAAAAATAGAAACAACCATTATCACTAAAGCATCCAGCAGCCAAGATCTGTATTCACCGTCACTGGAGCTCTTGACAGCGGACTCCATCATTACTAGTCTACATCACTACCGAGTCATCACTGGCGGAAGCGTAGAATAGCCCTAAGAAAATGCCGTTAGACAAAACAAGCTCAATATAAACTTACCAACGCGTCCTTTTTAAAGGGACCTAAGACTGTCTTGGATAGTTTTTGAGCTAAAACGTCTTCCAACCAAGAAAACGCTTTCAGAAAACGCAACGTGGCAACGTTATGGAAACGGTTTCCGCCTACAGTTTTAACGGGATACGCCCGTTCAACGCCAACGCAACGGGAAGTTTTTATTGACCTGTACTGTAAATGTGGGGTATGGGGTGGAGGGGAGATTTCCAAGACATCCCCTGTATCCCATAGGACAATGAGACAAAACAATAATGTGAGGTTTGGTGACGGGACATAAGGATTCCTGACACTAATAGTAGAAAACCTGAACAATACTGTCAATATTAGGGCATTGTACATCTAGATGCTCATATACTCACATGTGTTGGTTTTCTGTACACCACTACATAGTCAGTGTCAGATGTAGGTACAGCCAGATTATACATGTGACTCCCTGCCTTAGCAATCAAAATCACGTCATGACTGTGTATGCTTCTTAAATATAGAGAGTCTAGAAAGTCACGATGAGGATCTACATGTAAATCTGATTCCAGTTCTAAATGGAACAAATACAATGCAATAACATTAAATTTTGGTCGAAGTTCCCATATTATACTATAATACAGGGTATATTATCCAAATAGCTCTGGGAGGATTTTCCATTTTTAATGAGTGAATGCATATGCATGATTTTATGCTGTGTAAAGTTTCAGCTGATTTTGAAAAAAAATTAAACTTTTACAAATTTAAAAAACTCTAAAATCAAGTAAAAGTTCCACCACTATAGGACAAGGTCTAGGGTAAAACTTTGCAAAAATTGAAAAGGAGAGTTTTCACCATTTCTCTGATACATACATGTATACAGTACTGCTCAGCTATAAGTTTTCGTTTACACTAGTGATCTCTAGCATTACCTGCGTTCCACACTGGTGCAATATCTACACTAGTGCACCACAAAATGAGATAAGTACATACCGTATAGTTGGTAATATTCGAGGGTCCAAAATTTTGTGTTTTCTCCAAAATGTCCTTAGAAGCTAATATTCGTGGGTACAAATGTTCATGGATGGCAGTTAGCAAACTTCTTTTCACTTGAATCTACAGCACTAGCTTCCAACACATGGCTTATAGTGGAATATGGAGTAATAGACAAAAGACTTTGGCTCCTCCACTGGCTTGGAAATGGTAGTTAGAGCTCTGCATGGCCCGTTAATTAGTATTTATGTGTGGGTGGGTAGGGGTTAAAATTTCATGGATAAAAATTAACCACAAAATTAACGCAAATTAATACCCCACAAAATATACCAACTGTACAGTACATGATGCACATAATAAATACACGATACAGGTGCTACTGTATAGCTTGAAATTTTCGTGGAATGTAAATTTTGTGGTTTTCGTGGTTATGGGCTGCCAACGAAATCTAAACCCACGAAATCATTGAAGTGCCATCCCCTTATAGGCTATGTAAACTGTGAACCACGAAAATTAAACCACAAATTGCCCCACTGGGAGCAAACCACAAAAATATTGACCCACGAAAATTTCAAGCTATACGGTACCTTAACTAGTGCAGCTTGGATGCATAGACTAGCTGCACCTGTGTCGTGTCGTGTACACAATAAGTAAACTTATAGCTGAGCAGTACCGCACATGTTCTTATGTTGTGTAGAAAGCTTCAGCTTAATCTGATCAAAATTGTATTTGTAAGTTGCTTAAAAATTGGGTTGAAGTTCCTAATAGATATATCACTCCTAGGAGGGCTGTATCTGAGTTACAGGCACCAACCACAAGGGTGCGTAGCGCTCGAGTGGGAGGTGTCTGTAAATCAGATACAGCCCGAGTAGGCGTGTTATAGGTAATATAAATCATTTTGAGTGGGCAGATCACATTGTACGCATGCGCAGTAGCTAGTAGACTAGCACATGGCAAGAAGAGAAGATGGCACCTTGACAAGCAGCAGTTCTCCTTGTTCAAAGAACTTGAAAGAAGCATCACTTTAGCTTATAAATAAAGAACCATGTAGTTACCAGTGAATAAAGTGATCCAAACCTGCCTAATTCTGACAGATTAGGAGTTATAGACTCAAGACTCAACAGGCTATGGTCAACTACAGACAATAGCTGGTGGCAATGCCATTGTAAACAGTCTCACACTAATGATGAGAAGCCACCTGAGGATTAGTCTCGCTAGCCAGACCATTTTTCAGCCTACAGTCATTGGCATGGACCCCCGCCGTCCACCCCAATGACTGTAGGCTAGGAATGGTCTGGCTTGCGAGACTACTACCTGAGGATATCTTGAAGCCCGAGTGCTCTATTGAATTGCTTATCACTGGCTTCCATAGTATCACTTGAGCTTATATATTATTCTTTTATTGATTAATATGTAAGTTATTTAAAAATTAACAGCTAGTGCCTGTATCAAAAACAAAAGGCTTATACAGTTATGTGTGGTTAGCTACATGTACATGCAACTGTATCACATATACAGGACTTGTGGTAACTTTGATCTGCCCACTCAAGATGATATATGTACATGTACATGTATATGAAACTGTCATGGGCAAAATATTGCCAAAATTGAAAAGAAAAGAATTCTCCATTTTCATACTTTTCTTATGGATATGAATGTTCTTACATAGTATAAGAACTAAGTTTAAACTGAAAACCCAACCAAATTTGAATTTTTAACATGAGTAAAATTCATCAAATATGGCTAGGAGACAAATCTCCCATTTTTAATTACACAAGCTGAGACTGACTTTGAGGTAACAAAAAGTTGGCTCCTTCCATCCTCATTTTAGTCAGCCATTCTCCATAATCGATGGTACATTTAAGCCGGGAAGTATGCACTTTCTCTATGCCTTCAGTCACTCTTTGCTCCACTTTCAATAAAAGTTCCAGCAATTGCTCCTTGTGTACTAAACCCTGTGAAACAATACAATGTGCAACACACAATAAAACAATTATTGTTTAAAATCTAAAAAAAAGTGTCAAGGACTGTAAACTATCAACAACTAAAATTAAAACCATGAATTGCCGCACTATTACACCCACAAAAATAACCTACTACATGTATACCACAGATATTCTATACAGAAAAATGAAGAGTTAGAGAAATTTTTATAAGTAATATTTCAATTGACAATGACACAGGTAATACCGTATAGGGGTTATATTTCACTGGAAATAAATTTCGCGAATTTCGCGTTTTCATTAAATTCACAAAATTAAATTCCACAAAAGAGGTGTGGCACACTAGAAAAATGGCTGCAGAAGGTAGATTCGCAAAAATTTATACCAACAAATGGCAAATCTGGAAAAATTCGCAAAATTTTATACCAACAAAATAAAACCCCTATACGGTAATAGCAGTCAATCATACATGTAAATCACACGCAATATTTACTTCAAATGCTTGCGTCAAAGACTGGAGTATTTCTTTTTCTTCCTCAGTCACGCCTACGCTAAACCAACTAGTAATAGGCTTTCTGTTAATTGCTGACTCAGCATAAGAAAGAAGCCTAAAAGAAATGAAGCACAATTAGCAATATTGTGCATCGAAACATAAGTACCGTAATTTACCAATTAAAGGCCCAGGCATTTATTTCTTAACAGCAAGAAATGTTTCATTATTAACAATAAAAAAGAAACTCCAGGCAGAATAAAACCCAAAACCATTAGGAAACAAGACCAAGATGTACCTAATAAGCACTTTAGAGCCATCTTAGGAGTGAGGCATTAGTTTTGGCGGAAATACATGTATGCGTATCTATAGCTAGAATATATTTATGACAGACGTTTATTTGGACCAGGCATTTATATGGTAAAATACAGTACATGTACATGACTGACTACATGTACATCAGCACACATCACATATACCTAAAAGAGTCACAGAAATTGCTTAGAAGAGCATCATCTCTAACCTCCAGTCTGCCAGAGACCGGTTTTTTCTTGACAAGAGAGCCAACGGACTTTCCTACACAACGCTTAACAAATGTACGTGTCAGAAGCGAGACTGGATCAAGAAGTGATGACAGATTGATCCATTCCGGTGAGCTGAAGATGATTGATTCCGGAGGTGAGCAAAAAGCTTCGACTGCCCTGTCATCACCATGATGAAGCTGACCACCAAAATGTCTCACATCACAAGCAAACATAAAACCCTATGACAGACATGGTGTAGCAGTAATAGGTAATTGTAATAGTAATTATTACATATTTTTAAGTAATAGTAATAGAAATGATTGTGAAATTTAAAGTCATAGCAATAGTAATAGTAGTATGCAATATTAAATAGATTGTAATAGTAATGGCAATAGTATTACATCAATCTTAAACAAAAGGTAAAAGTAATATTAAAAGTAAAAGCTTTTGAGGTAATATTTTCTATAAGTGACTGAGTTTAAGGTACACAGGTAAGACTTTCTGACTCTGTTTTTAAAAAATAATCAATAATTGGCAATTTGCTTTGATTATTGTAAATGAAGTGACCATTGGTAGTAAATAGCAATAGCAGTAAGTAATAAAAGTAATAGTAATGAAAGAGTCTTTTATGTAATAGTAATATACTACATTATGCTGAGGTAGTTTTTAGTACTGGTAATACTAATAGGAAAAATATATGTAATAGTAATAGCAATATATTTCATTTTGGTTAGGTGTCAAGTAATAGTAATTGTAATAGTATAGACCTCTTGAGCTGCGAATGACTAGGTGTATGAATATCATTATTTTGAGATACGGTATCCACCTACGTGTAATAATTGGCCGCCATTTTGGAAGGCAAGATTCAATGAAGAAGGAATGGAGTAAACTATAAAAATGATTTGTTCGGCAGGTCTGGAACTCTTTCAAGCTACAAAAGCTGGTTGGAAGAAAGAATGGGTGCTACCAAGCATATCATAAAACAGATTTGGTGCAATGTGCAGCAGATTCTTTACTATAGCTTGCTTTCTGCTTTTGCCCATTGGTTCACCATAGAAAGGTGCCATCCATGGAATTTATTTCCTTCTCTACCACACCCACTGCCGTATTTAATCTTGTAACGTAACTCATTCTCACCTCGAGAGGTCTATTACATTTCTATTGGTGGAAATGTAATAGTAATAGCAATTTCATTAATTTGTATTGTAACTTACCCCATGTCTGCCATATGAAGCAACATAAAGGGTGTAATATTTAATTATATTACATTTTAGAAAGGAACAGATACATGTAAATTCTAAATTACAACTTTCACTAACTCACTCGATCAATAATGTCGCATAACTCTTTCTCATGCTGATTTTTTAGTGAAAAAAACTGCTCATCTCGTGACACAAAGACAATGTAAAGCACGTTATTCCTAGCCTTTGAAAACTCTTCCAACTGAGAGCCCGAAAACCACGGACAGGTAAGTATTGTTGCATACACAAGTCTCTTGATATACCCATCAAATATCTTGGTTATTTTCTTGGCTATTTTTGCTTTCGTTCCTTCATGGAAGTTATCGGGAGTATGAGATACAACAAGGTCGTGGAGCAACGAGAGTTCATTGTGATCAAGTGAGAAAGGGCGAAAAATAAACTGGGTATCCTTGAGATGGCTTTTTAGATCACACAATGAGTTTAATGTAGTGATACTGTCATTTCCAGCTAAACACAAAAACAAAAAATCAGTAATAACACCAGAAATGCAATGAAAAGTGCAGTAACATTATTTAACGATATTCATTAAAATAATTACATGTAACTATTGTAATGGTAATGGGTGAAGTCTATTTTGCGCAGCAAGTTTTTAACCTATTCACTGCAGCCTGGTACAAGTATGGAGTTTCATGAACTACTGAAAATTGTCTTAACAAGAGACCGTCTAGCTATAGACCAGTTGGCACTAAGTATATTCATTGATTTTTAAGTATATTCATTGTGATACCGTAAATAAAGTAAAATTTTCCCGCCACCATTTTGAAGTCCTACTTCCAATGGTTGTCCATGGAGCGATCCTGAAAAGAGCTTATTCTCCAAAAACTGCTGTATTTATTCGTTACAGCAATATTGCTACTGCTTACTGACCATCATCCAGTGTCTATAGTTGGCTCATGGACTTTAATAAGTGCCACCAGAAGATATAGAAGCAAAGATATTGCTTTCTCCCATTCTACCGTTTCTTTGTAACTAAGACTCCAAAATGGCGGTAGGAAAACTTTACTTTATTTACTGTATCACAATGAATATACTCAAAATTCTATCAATATGCTTAGCACCAACTGGTCTATAGACCAGTTGGTGCTAAGTATATTCATAAAATTTTAAGTATATTCATTGTGATACCGTAAATAAAGTAAAATTTTCCTGCCGCCATTTTGGAGTCCTAGCTCCAATGGTTGTCTATGGAGCGATCGTGAAAAGAGCTCATTCTCCAAAAACTGCTGTATTTATCCTTTACAGCAATCTTGCTACTGCTTACTGACCATCATCCAGTTTCTATAGTTGGCTCATGGGCTTTAATAAGTGCCACTAGAAGATATACATGTCCAGCTATTGCAATGGGACTTCCGGTCACATTAATTTAATGATATTCATTGGAATTACCATAGCAACGGCAGCTCAGCAATGGTGGATTGATAGGAAGCTTCACTACAAAGCCTGCTAACGTCTTTCTGGTTCATGGATGGGACTTCACTAGATACTTGGAGCTTCTTGAACGCTACTTAATGCAATTGGTTATGGTAGTTTTTTCATATTCTATTGTTAAAGTGGCAGGCGTGGCGCAAGAAGACTCATCCACTAACAAAAGGCCTTCTTGTTATTACTTTAAAAGGATCTAGAGACATGATTTGCTTGTATAGCTGTTAAGCACTCTTAGTTTTACTTTATTATTCCCGTGAGAAGAGAAAAGCACTTGTTCACTCTTGTTCAGTGCTGCACCCGTTATCACTGAGACGACTAAAATTATTTCACCTTTAGAAGACTAAAGTACCGAACAAAGTTTTGAATTTCTTTATCTTTTTTGCATGATTGGGCAGTAAAAATGTTGTACTTTCACAAAATAAGTGCGCAATTTGTCAAAAATTGTTTGAAATTTAGATATAACCATTCAAAAAGTAAAAAAATTATCATACATACATAAAGGAATGACAAAATGGCGGCACTGACTGCCTCATCTTTAATCTGCAAATGTTCCACACAAAGTTACTTCAAGTGCTGTCATATTTACCAGGAACACAGGTATAATTATGGAGAACAGCTACTGAAGTGCGCAAATTGATGAGACTTATTCTGAAGAAAGATATAGCCTAGTAAATGGGAAATGTCCATTCCTGCCCTGTATAAAGTCAACCAGTAGTATACGGAGATAATTGCTCAGTATACTAATCAGCGTCCACTCATTGCTGGACATGAGAAGCAAAGATATTACTTTCTCCCGGCATTCTACTCTTAGTAACTAAGACTCCAAAATGACGGTAGGAAAATTTTACTTTATTTACGGTATCACAGTGAATATACTTAAAATTCTATGAATATACTTAGCGCCAACTGGTCTATAACAGGCTGTTTGTCAGTGGTTAAGTTACATAAATTACAAAAAGTGTGGCTTGCTAGTTTAAAGTCCATTGAATCAGAGTGAAACTGACCTTTTTGTGAATTATACATTTGCTTGGTACAAGCTCTACAGCTGGGTATGAGAAACCTTGACCTCAAGGCGAAAACTCTTGCCGGTATATGATGCAGCATGTTCTCACTTCTGAGACTTATCTCAGTTCTCCGCCCATGAAAGGGAGGGGCTGTTTGAGTGTACATACGGGCATAGATGGTGCACCACTATCCGGAAACCTTCCCCACCAAATGAATGACGTTCTGCATTGCCAATACCGCAATAGTTCTAACCCAGAGGAGGTAGGACACGGTTGACCTTTGATTAATAATTGCAAAGTTCAATGTATTCCATTGGTATCACGTGATGCAAAATTAGTCTCGCGTAGCCAGACCACACCCTCCGTGCCTCCGGGAGGGTCTGGTCAACTGAGCATTCCTTCTTCGTTCTGCTTCACCCAAAACTGGGTG